ATGCACTACAAAAAAAAAAAAAAAAAGAAATACCACCACGCGAGAAATAAGGTAAAAATGCACACATAAATCCGAGGTGGAGCCTCGCGTTCACGTGTTTCACGTGTTTTTTTTTTCTTTCTATTTTTCTCTAAATGGAGAAGGCTTCATTGTTATCAAGGAATAGAAGCCCAATAAGAATACCGGCCCATGATAAAAGAATAGAAGCCCAAGAAAGGGCAAGCGAAAGCCCAATAAGAATATCGGCCCATGATAAAAAGGATAGAAGCCCAAGAAAGGGCAAGCGAAAGCCCAATAAGAATATCGCCCCATGATAAAAGAATAAATGCCCAAGCAAGGGCAAGCGAAAGCCCAATAAGAATATCGGCCTATTATAAAAGAATAGAAGCCCAAGCTAGGCAGACTAAAGCCCAATAAGAATATCGGCCCATGATAAAATAATCGAAGCCCAAGCAAGGGCAAGCGAAAGCCTAATAAGAATATCGACCCATGATAAAATAATCGAAGCCCAAGCTAGGGCAAGCGAAAGCCGAATAAGAATATCGGCCCATGATAAATTAATAGAAGCCCAAGCTAGGGCAAGCTGAAGCCCAATAAGAATATCGGCCCATGAAAAAGAATAAAAGCCCAAGCTAGGGCAAGCGAAAGCCCAATAAGACTATCGGCCCATTATAAAAGAATAGAAGCCCAAGCTAGATCTTTTATTGAGAGTTCTTGGGTAGATATTCTTATTGGGCAAACGAAAGCCCAATAAGAATATCGGCCCATGACAATGAAATAGAAGCCCAATTCGTCACAAAATTGAAAATTTTGCGAGGGATTGTAGCTAGAAAGTACTAGAAGCCTCGTTCACCCCTCTTTTATTTCGACAACTCACACCCCCCACTTGGCTTATCTTCTGAGTTAGGGTTTCTGTTTCCTCTTTACCCTCTTTCTTACATTTCTCTAGGGTTTTGCCATTCTTTTTCATCAGCTTTGTATAATCCGAAGCAATGAGGTAAATTACTACTCTCTTTCTAACTCTGTCAAGCTAGATCTTTCCCAAGATTGCATACTGTTGGGTCTTCTTCTTGATCTTTGGTTTTGTGATCTTCATTTTCTCCATTTTTACTTCTCGAACCGTGCTTGGTCGCGCGATATATATGAAATCATCTTAACTTCGTTCTTGATTTTGTCTCTTTTACTTTGGTATTGGGAGTCAGGGTCTATCTTGAGAGTTCTTGGGTAGAAATGTCTTACGAAGTGATGATGGTCGTGTTAATTCTTTTGTGTTGCTTTCTAATTGACGTGTTCTTGGACTTCGTAAAAGATGGTTCGTTTTGGGCTCGAGTATTGTGGGAAAATCATGATGGGTTATTTAGGGTTCTAAATAGTTCCTTTCTTTCTTACTTCGGACGGTTGTAAGTTTTGACTCTGGTACGACCCGTGTGTGTTTATATATATACGTTGAGGATTATCTGCAAATCATATATATTCGGGTTGCAGAAACTGGTTTTCTGTTGACATCGTATACTGTACATTTGGTGGGGATGCACTATTGTTTTTTTTTTTTTACTTTTAGGACTTGAAAGAATTCTTTAGTTTGTTGGGTCAATATAAAGCTGAGACTCGTTGCTTAGGTGTTATTATGGTGCAAGTCAACATAGTCAACTAAGGCTAAGGGCTTATCTTGTTGGCTTTTTTGCTGAATTTTATTTCATAACATCGTCTTGGGGTGGTTATTTCAACTTTTGATTAGGTGGCTGACTCTTTAAGTGCATTCTGTTGCTTGATATATGGACTCAGAAACGGGATTTAGTTTAATTCATTCTTCTGATGATTTTCTATAAGGGCATATCTTTAGAGACTTACCAGTTCTTTATACATGGATGGTTACTGATAACATTTGTTTAATAAAATGTAGTCGTCATCCTGAGGTGAAATGGGCCCAGAGACTGGACAAGGTCTTTATCACTGTGCAGCTCCCAGACTCTAAGGATTCTAAGGTCAATCTTGAGCCAGATGGAGTATTCACTTTCTCTGGTAGTGCTGGTTCAGAGAATCACCATTATGAACTGAAGTTGGAGCTTTTTGATAAAGTTAATGTTGAAGTATGTAGACATATTACTCAAATTTTTTGCTATTTCTTTTCCGTTTCGAGTATGCTATCATATAATGAATGGACCTAATAGTTCGCATCTAATTTCTTAGTTGACAGGAAAATTTGTAGAAATATATGATGCACCGTTTAACACAAATATTTCGTTCTAACAGGAGAGTAAAGTGAACATTGGAGTTCGGAGCATATTCTGTATCTTAGAGAAGGCAGAGAAGGGATGGTGGAAAAAGCTATTGCGTGGAGATGGAAAGCCACCCCATTATGTCAAAGTAGATTGGGACAAATGGGTGGATGAGGATGAAGATAATGGTAGTCTAGTTGTGCCTTGACCTGTTGGGTTATTACCTTGAATTAAACTTTTCATCCTATCTTGTGTAGCTAATGTGTACTGATTAACTCTTTTGTTGTTCAGGAACTGCTGGTCTAGGTGACATGGATTTGGGAGGCATGGACTTTTCGGTAAGGATGTGTGAGTTGAACTGATTGCTGTATTTTGCATCTCTGTATCTTGTTCTAATCAATGTTTTCATCTTGCAGAAATTTGGTGACATGGGTGGCATGGGCGGCTTGGGCGGAATGGGTGGCTTGGGCGGTATGGGTGGCTTGGGCGACATGGACATGGGAGGCATGGGAGATGATAATGAATTCGACGGGAGTGATGATGATGGTAAGTTCCCATTTTGCTTAAGCAGTGCAGTATATGAATTGTTTCTGCAGTGGTTGAATGTCTAATTAAGCAGTGCACTTAAGTTGACTGTTTAACTTGTTTGCTGCATTTGGCTGATCTTTAGCTATTTTGTGTTGATGCTGTTATGTTATTTTGTTTTGTAGAACAAGAGGTCTCAAAGCCAGAAAAAAGCGGTGATAAGGCTGAATCTGCTAAGGCAGAGGCGGAAATCAAAGGTGGATCCTCAGAAGAGAAAAAGGAAGCAGCAGCAGCTAGCACATGATTTTGCGGGGTTGTTCAGAAATAACCAAGCATTTGATAAAAATGTTTTCATAGTTGTGGTGGCTTGAATTGAATTTTTGAGCTTTTATGATGTGGCCTATTTTACTGTGTATTCCTCTGGAACTGCTGCTATTTTTGAACTGCTTAACATCTTTCTTTGCAATCCAGGAGAACAATTATTTCACTAGTTTTATAAGTGGTAATGAATGCATTAAGAATGAGTTGGAACTGAGCTGCATGTTGCTTTTCCTCAGGAATTTTTTTTCTATTTTTTTTTTTTTTCTGGAATACAACTTACGATTTCTCTGGTAATATGGAGACTTCCATGCTTTTGGTTGGCTGTGGAATTTTACTACATCTCTTTAAGTTTGTCTGCTCTTCTCTACTTAAAACAGATTTTTCTTCTTTATTTTGAATACTAAGTTTCTGTAGTGTATAGTTTTCTCACCTTAATATAATTTTAAATTTATCTATTTAATATATATTTTTTATATTACTACTTAACAACAAGAAAATTCATATATGCTTTTAATTAATTTTAAATTTAGCTGTTAGATGTTTATTTTTATATAATTATATAATTATTACGAATATATTTTCCAAATTTATGAAGAAAATGCAAACTATTTTTATTCACAAAAGTCAGCAGTAAAATAACGGAATTACAATTAAGATTTACCGTTAAATATAAATAGTAAATTTGAGAGATGTTATATAACCTTTTAGATTAAAACTAGTTGCTGGAAAGCCTACTTTTCACCAATTGGTAAATTGTAGTTTTTAAACGTTTAGCAGAAGCTTGACCAAGATCATGGCATACATCAAAGCAGGTGAAGAAAAAAGAGCAAATAGAGACAAGAAGAAGCCTATGCCAATAGAATAGAAGGGTCCACATGACACCTTTTCACTAATATACTTGTTAAATATTTACAAAAGGATGGCTTGATTCTATCTCCTAACGCTAGATTTGAGTTTGTCCCACATAAATTAAAGTGACCCTGTAGTTAGGACTCCATATTCTAAACAAGAGAGAGGCGAGGAGGAGGCGAAGAAGAAAAAGAAGTGTTCAACAGTCTGGGTTATTTTCATCTGACCTTTTAATTGTTGTAAGATCCACCAAGTGTCTCATGGTTGGCCTTCCATGAGGGCAGTTCCAAGGAGATTTCAACTCTGCCAAATGCTCCACTATCTGTGTAAACAAATAACCATATCAGGAGTTGCAGCTATACTATTTGCGTCCAGAGAATTTCAGAGGCTCACAAGCAATGCAAGGAGCTTATTTTTTTAGTTCAGAGATTCCATAAAAGAGAGAGAGACAGCAAGACTGTAACCTTCTGCATTTCATTTCTCCCTAGTGGATCCCCAATCATAACAGAGGATCTACATGCCCGTGATGCCAGCATTGCTCGAACTCGGGAAGGGCAGACTGAATTGGCTGTGTCCATCCGATACGAGCCGATTATAGAACATTCACCTTCACTATCAGCAAGTGTAGAAATCAGGTCCTTAACATCTGTTCAATCACACCACCACTGTCAGTATAGTAATCGAATTGCATCTTGCACTCGAAAACAGCAAGAAGCATCCTATAAAATAGAACTATTCCCCAGTTCAAGTTTATGTGAATAACCATGCTTCGCAACTACCATATCTAAAATGATGAAGTCAAATATGAACTCTTAACTGACGCCTATGTTACTAAATTACTGGCTATAAAGTAAGCATCAGCGAAGCAAACGAGAACCACCTTCAACTCCGAATGTTATATTTTTACTGAAAGGGACAGCCTTTAATCTGAATCGATTTCCAGGTAGAGCATGTGGATCTTCCTCTAGAACAAATCCATTCTTCCTGTCATCAGAGTACAGAATGTGACTTTTACAGATGACGAAGATAAGGTTTAACCAAAGCATTACTAAAATTTTAATGATGGAAATAAAAAGATTGGAATTATACGCAGCACAATGGTACCTCAATATAAATTGAAACTAATTAGTATGAGTCATACAAAATATGCTGAACTATTTATTTTCCGTGGAACTCTTCGATCAGAGACAGAAATATTTACTTCCTTTTTCATAACTAGTTTCCTTTGTTGAAATTTCTCTGGTATAAAATCTATCAATTATGGGGTATTTTCTTGAATGAGAAAACAATTTCTCCAAAAACTATAATCACCTGATTACGTCCATGTGAATTGAAACGACAACTTCTTCTTCAGCAGACAATTCCAACCTCAACGGCCTGCAAGAATAATTAACCTTAGAAAAGCAGAGAAGAGGATTTCACACAAAACTTTCTTTTTTTCTCTCTTCTGAGTCTGCTAACCAGTATATTTAGCCATAGTTTCTCATTCTCATTCCAACAGAAACTAACACAGAGCAAGAGCAGAAAAGCCCCTCACCTTAGTAAAGGCTGTTGGTTTAAAATTGTCGATTGTGACAGTCGCTCAAAGTTGTACTTCTCATCAGCAGCATGCTAAAATTTGAATATTTCCATTGATGCAGTTATATTTTGGTATAACATGAAAATAATTTAGCAAAAAAGTCCAAGATGATGCAAGGAAAATCACCTGATCAACAATAAATAAATCTTGATCCAACTTCCCAATGATAAATCCGAGGTTGAATTGTCCAACAACCTATATAAAACATAGATTTAATTAATAGTCCTTTTATCTTCAATTGGAAAAAGAATCGATGGACAACAATTTATTCATTAATGCAATGGGATTGGACCAGCTAAGTAGGACAAAGATGCTCTGCTTCATCCTTGCTGCCTAAGAGGAGCCAAGATTGACGTGATTGTACGAACATTACTAAATACTCAACAGTGTCAATCTTGGCTTAAGCTTCCCAAAATAAATAAAATAAAATAAAATAACCATTTCTAGAGAATGCCCCAAAGAAACTACGGCCAAGCATGGCTATAGACTAATGAGGTCTTGAGAGAAGTCAATATTAATGGAAGCAATCAAATGTCACCAGTGGCATATCCTACTGGTGTAAGTTGTCAAAGCTTGTAATAAAGGGGTATTGTATGTAAAAGCATATGTTGAAATTTATGGTCAACATCAAATAACTGCAAGTAATAGTTTCAACTGCAACAAACATTACGAAGGTACGACAAGTGGGACGAGATTAGAGACCTTCATTCTACTAAAATCTTCCTTTCTGAAGAGCCGGTCCAGCTCCTTGGCAGCTGCTTCTAAAGCTCTTGCCTTCCGGTCTTCATTATCAGGTTGAGAAAGCTTCAGAGTAGCAGCAGCATAGTGGCTGCAAGCGATGATAAAAAGTTAATCATTATTCACATGCAAGAGTGGATAGAATATTATTGAATAATGTTAGCATTTCAGAGACCATTTCAACTTCTTCCTTTCGCATATATAGCCATTCAGTTTGTCTCTCAACTGCCTCTGCGTCCTCCTTTTCTTCAGCTCATGAAAATCAAAATGACACGTTGAACATAACTTCAATTGAGGACTGGAGCTTTCTTTCATAAAACCAGAAGGAAGTACTGAAGAGTCGGATAGTGGAAGATCCTCAGACATCTCAAGATCCTTGATGGGTGTACCAGTTGATTCTATAACAGAATGAGGCACCTTAGCTATGGCTTCCTCTGTACATTCCTACAAGAGAAACGGTCACATGAAGGGCCAGAAATCTTAGTGACGTCAATATTTTGACAGACAGTATAATTACACCTACAATGTTGTTATATCAAGAGGTACCAAGCTAATCACTTGCCACCAAGCATGCACTTATTCCCATTTGCTCTCATATAAAATACGAATGAAGTTGCACTGAATTACACTAAATGCTCAATAGTCTTGAAGGAATAACTTGACGCTTATATTAAATTATGGATAGTCTTTTTTTTAATGCCTCACTGAATTTACTTGTCTTGGCTTCCATGCCAGTAGTTTGGATTTCTAGAACAATTGAGCCACTATAAATTATCAATTATTTGAAGAAAAATCTCTAACGTCAACAATTTTGAGCTGTATTCCAAAAGGGGGGAAAAGAGGAATCACTTATAATGTGAAGTGATGCTTAGAGTTATCGAAAAGGGAGAATTAATTTGTTTCTAATCAAGAAAGGAAACTATATACAAAGTTAATGGTCTATATGGTTCACGGTACTCCCAGTTGTTTCAAACCTCCCCCCACAAATGTAAAAGATTGTATACCTCCTCTGTTGTTTCTCCATCATCACTATGGTCCGCAGAAGATAGTGGAATACCAAGTTCATTGAAAACTCTGTCTGTATTAGTTTGTATGGAGCTGTCTTCATCATTCCCTTCTGAAAAATCATCAAACACCTGGCAATTTCCGTGTGTGCATTTCACATCCTTGGAAGGATTGTCGGCACTGATTTTCTTCCATTGATTATTAAGAAACTGGTTTCTTAAGATGGGCACTTCAGACAGTGGTGCAGATAAAGTTTCATATTTTCTCTTATTTGTAGTTACAAACTTGTCAAGTGATGATTGAACACGGCTTGTATTGGTTCCAGTAACAGTCACACATGGAGAGGAAGGAGTAATTTGTTCACCTTTCTTGCTACTGAAACAAGTTTTCTTATGCTGATCATAATCCTTTAAAAAAGCATCAGCCTTCTTCATGCCATGTACTCTAAGAGCGAAGTCCTTTCTGGTTATATTTTCCTCACCATCACTACTTACTACCTCAATAGTTTGTGAGGATTGTTCCACATTTTCAATCATCTTGAGAGAATCATCATTATCAGCCAAAGTCAGATGAGAAGAAGCATCTCTGAGCTTACCTTCATCAGGTGAGAAATGTTCCACTAACATGCTCAATTTCCTTTTATCAGAACACAGCTCAACGCTATCTACTTGTTTAGTAGGTTCTTCAACTTTATTCACAGAAAAGCAGGCATTAATTGGAGAATAGATCTTCAGTAGTTCCTCCCTCAATCTTTGCAAAATGTGAGTTTCATCAGAGAAGAATATTTTTCTCTTATCAGGAGTTACATTGACATCACAAGCTTTACTTGGAAGAGTGAAATTCATGATTGCAATTGGATATTGCCGGGAGTTTGCACTTTTATATAATTCATTTACAAGCTTGCTCACTTTAGGCATATCCACAGGTCGATTATTTACAAAAAAGAATTGCCGATCTCCCAAATTCCTCCCACTTCCCTGTCCACTCTTCGACACAAATCCTTCAACTTTGCAATCATCTGACAATAATATAGATACAGACTC